TGAAAAAGAGTAATAAATATACTCATAATTTGTACTAAAAAAACACATGATAGAAAAATTGAAAAAAATTATTTATAACCATAAAAAAATAAAAATTTATACATGGCATTGGTAGCACTTTTTTCATTTGGTTCTCAATTCTAACACTTATTATTGTTTACAATTTGTTGACTATGAAAATTTTATCATATACTTTATAATATTTACATAATATTAGAGGAGTAAATGTATATAAGTTTATATATCCTATTAAATTAAAAGAACCAAACAAATTAAACTACATCATATTATAAGATTTTATTGTGAATAAATATTGTGAATAAATCATTTTCTCACTTTTTAAAATATATGAAATTAAAGTTCTCATTGAAGATTGAAATAAAGTTTAAGAATTAAATGGATTTCTCTCCAAAAATAAATCCCAATTTTCCTTTTAAAGAAAATTATTTATACTTATAATAAAAATAAAAATGTCAAATTTAAATTACATAGTATACAAAATTAAAAAAATGAAAAAAAATGAGAAATTATTGTTTTTTTCTGTGCAATTCGAATATTCGATACTAAAGTAAAAAGGAAAAATTATTGGCGACCCGGACCCATGCCCACCCACGGATATTGGATCGCAGCGGATAGGGAATAAAACAACCGTGGAAGTGATAATAACAAAGAAGAAGATCTCCGGCGATACGAGATGGGAAGTTCGTCTTCCGATAATTTCTCCGTCCTGGTGCTCGCCTCCGATCTGGGAATCGACGCGCGCCCTTTCTTGTCCAAACAGGACAGAGAAGGCGATGAACAAGAGAATTGGCACGACTGTTCGCAGCAATTCTCAGACGAAGATTTCTCCGATCTCGATTTGCTGCAGTTTTTCCGCCTTGAGGGCTCGGATAAATCTGGAAACCGCATCTTCCGCATCGTCGGAAAGTACTTTCCTGGTCAGTACCAATACCCTTTTGTTGTTTTAATTTATTATGTCTTTTTTGGGTTCACTGCTTTGTTTCTTATTAGGTAAGTGATTGAATCTATCCAATTTAGTGACTTCAATTTAGTTTTTTTTTTCCAAAGAATTGACTAGGGAACAGTTGAAAGAAGATAGTAAGATGAAGAAGAACAATCCGTTAGGATTTATTTATTTATTTTTCCTTTTTGGTGGAGAGGTGGGGGATTTGGCTGTAACCTAATTGCATACTTGAAGTATAGAGGAAAGGTAAATGGAGGGCATTCACTTTAGGTGTACTCCATTCCTTTAGGCTAGGTAATATTGTGGACGCTATTCTTGAGATAGAAAAAAAAAAAAATGAACTTTCTTTGGCTAAGCCAATCTTTTCTCAAAAGTAAGTTTTTTCCATTTTTGTGGGTTTTCTGTTTTATTGATCTTTATGGGTTGAATTTGGTGTGTATGTATTACTTATATCATGTCTTGGTTTCCCAAAGTATGCTGGCCTTTTGGCTATATCGTTGTTTTTGTTGTATCTGTTTGACTGTGCATTATCTGGCATCGGCTTGGATGCTCTTATCTTCATTGTCCATCTTGCTCTGGCTTTACAGGCAATCACTTATATGCACTATTTCTTGTTAATGTCTAATTCAAGATGGGAAAAAGGTTGTGTTAATCAAATTTGAGTGCTTTCATTTTATGATCATAACCATGCATTTTAGTTCTTTAAAGTTTGAAATGGTTGTTAGTCTTTTTTTTTTTTTTTGGTCATTTTGGGTAACATGGAGTGATTCCATCTTGAAAAAGGTCTTGGCTCTATATTCTGTTTGTGGGGAGCTTGGTTCGAAATCTTATTGAGTTCTTTCTTCTTCAATGATATACAGCTCCAGTTGTGAGTGGTGAGCGGCTGAAGAAATATATATTTCAGAAAATATGCACCGAGTTGCCTGAAGGGCCATTCGGTATTGTTTATATGCATAGTACAGTGCAAAAGGAGGATAACTCCCCCGGTCTTACCATTTTGAGGTGGATATATGAAGAACTTCCATCTGAGGTCAAAGACAGGCTGCAAGTTGTGTATTTCATACATCCTGGGCTTCGGTCAAGACTTGTATTTGCAACTCTTGGCCGATTTTTCCTAAGTGGAGGGTAAGTTTAAATTTCAATTGAGCATGACCTATTGTAATCTATTTTTGTCACTATCTGATAATGAAGCTTATTGGCGAATATGGTCTGAAAGACTGAATATTTTCAATCTTTGTGCATTTATTTGCAAAATTTCCTCTAGGTCTGATAAAAGATGATATTCTTGTTAGAGACTCAAGTAATTACTTGCTTATGTTTTCAAAGTGGATTTATAATGCACTTCAAGGTATCCATGAAAGGAACTTGATTTTCATGTTGCCAATCATGCAGGGGTTATGTGCATGTTCACGATTGCTTATCTGTTCTTAATTGAAAATATGTAAATCAATAAAAAATTTTAATGCAGGAAACTAATATCTTATTGACGAATACTTATTATTTTTCATTGTTCATAAGAATTGTACTTGGTGTAAAATTTGCTGTAACTTTTAACTTTTGATTTCCAGCTTATACTGGAAGATCAAGTATGTAAGCCGCCTGCAGTACCTCTGGGAGGACATAAAGAAGGGAGAGGTTGAGATCCCTGAGTTTGTGCTGAATCATGATGATATTCTTGAGCATAGACCACTGACAGATTATGGCATTGAACCAGACCCTCTCCATCTAACAGAGGTGCCTGCCACAGCTTACTCATTTGGGAGGTATGAAGAGAGATGGGCCTCAAGGGAATTCCTGTCATAACCTTGACGTTTGCTGAACCCTCCAAAAGAAGTGTGTTTTGTATCTTTGCTAGGTTGGGGGTTTTTACTTTAGAAACCAGTCATTGTACAGAAAAGTTCTAGCCTTATGTTTGTGTACTGTATGCCCAAAATCAACCACGTTTCTGTTGCTGAATTGTGAACTGTAACCAAATTCGTCTATGATGAGAAAGGGTTAAGTTGTTTTAAATGTTCATGTTGGTGCTATTTTACTTTCTTCAGAAAAAATTGAAGTTTTGCAACTATAAACTTACTGACATGTATTTACAAGGGATTGAGAAAAATTAAGACTTTTTGGCAGTTAAAATACTAATATTGATAATGAAAATGTTAAAATATTTTTAATAAATCAATACACAAAAATATTTTTTTAGGATATTTCAACAATTTCATAAAAAATCATAACTTTTAAGTGTCCAAATATCTTACTTTACACATTTCTCTATTTATAAATTACATGTATCAATTTGTCATTCTTGGAATATGTTTAGGAGAGCTATTTGTTGAATAGGCATGCTTTAGTACAGGCCAAAATGCAAATTGAGTCCCGCATTACAAAACAATGGAAATGAAACCATTGTTTTATATAAAAAAACGAAATATATATCAGCAGCACCAATGGTCTAGTGGTAAAATAGAACCCTGCCACGGCACAGACTACAGACCCGGATTCGGTGTACATTATCATATGTTGCGGGGATAGCTCACTTGGGAGAGCGTAAGACTGAAGATCTGAAGTTTGCGAGTTCGATCCACGCTCACCGCAATCTATCCATTTTTGGTTTTCCTTCAATTGTTCCGAAAGGTGAATTTATAAAAAAATTGAAAAAAAAAAAAAACTATTTTCTGTCTCCCAGACCAATATCACTTCAGTTCAATATTTCATTCCTGGTTATCATATGTATAAATCCCTTAATCTTAGTGTACGCAAGAAGAGCAATTTGTTGAATTTGCCTGCATTAGTACAAACCAACATGCAAATTGACTTGTATAAGCATAAAAAAAATGGGAATGAAGTCATTGTTTTATTTGTTTGAAAGCAACATATCAGGAGCACCAATGTTCTAGTGGTAGAATAGTACCTTGCCACTAAACAAACTCTTTATAATTTTTCTATATAAAGTTTTAATTCAGAACACATATATGAATGCTTTATCAGGTAAGAATCATTCTACTATTTAAAGCACTCTTAGGCACTTAAGCCCAGTTAGTACATGTAACTTTTCTCATTTCTCATGCTAGACACCTGAAAGAGATAGGGGAGCATCAAGAGAAGAAATTAAAGAGTATGGGTTGCAGGCAGTCAAAAGGACAAGGTTAGTATATAACCATGAATTGTTCTTGGGGTGGATTATACAATAGGAATTCATAATCGCTTTTTCCCAAACCCCTCGTGTCGTCACTCTCCATTTTCTAATAAAAAATTAATATATGAATTTTTTTTAACGTTCCTTTCTCCTCATGGTGTCTAGTCATACAACAACGGTGCAACTCTATCAATTCCGGTACAAAGGGCAGTGGCAAAGATGACGACGGGACGGCAAAACCTAAAGAGATGTCCAACACCGAGATGGTGAAGCATGTCACCGACGTCAAAATTGATCAAAAGCAGGTCACTTGGAAGAAAACAAAACTTCCGGCAGTGGCAGAGGAAGTGGAGGAGGACGCTACGTCATCAGAAGATGAACATTACTATTCAGCAGATGAGGATCTCAATAAAGCCACTAAGGATCACTAGAACCCCAAAACCGTATGCATATCCAAACTAAATATTCTTTTCCACTTTCGATCATTGTTTTGGTTTTTTTTTTTTCTTTTTTTGGGGGAAATGTTCTTATTTAGTTCATCCCAGGCATGAAATGTCTAACAAAACCCTTAATAAAAATCTTTTATTAAAGGTATTATAGATATTTCATATTTTTTATTTTATTAGTTCAGATTGAAAAACAATGAATTTTTGTAAGTAATTAATTGGTTACCAAAAATTACTCTGGCTTGACACAATGTATCTAATTGTTCACAATGTGTTAAAAAGGTAACATATTTCGGAATATAATTAAATTGAATGTATCATAAGGATAATGCTACGTACACACTTCCACCACACACCTTGTTTCACCCACTTAGGCTCCGTTAGTCTCCGTTACTTTCCATTTTTGTTAACTCCCAAACTTGCAATTGCCCTAATGAAACCTACAATTTCATCCTCTTCACCTAGCATTAGCTCTTTGATTTTCAACCTTCTTCCTTCTTTTCCCACCTCCTCCTTTCTTTTTCTTCTTCTTTTCCTCTCCTCCCCTCTTCTTCTCTTCCCCCCTCTTTGATCTGTTGAAAGAGAACCCAAATCTGGGTTCTCCAATACAACCCGTGAGAACTCAGAACGGGTTCTCCAAGTGAACCCATGAGAACCTAGAACGGGGTCTCACCTTAGGTTCTGAAGGAGAACCTGAGAGAAAAAAAAACAAAAAGAGGAAGAAGGGGGGAATCTGCAATCTAAGGAACCCAACTCGAAGCATGTTCTCAATCACTTCTTTTTCTCCCATAATATGCAATTCTCAGTATGCAATCGAAGGTTGCAACTTGAATCAAAACGTTTTTTGAGTTTAACAGGTTGATGATTCTCGTGATTTCTTTGTATGTTTATAGTTAATCAATCAGAGGGATTCTGATGGTTTGATCACTAAGGAGGATGGTGAACAGTAAGAAGGAGAGAGGAAAGGAGAGAGAGAAAGAAAGGGCAAGGCTGGGTGCTTAACGGAGAGTGAGTGTCTATAATGAGAGGTGTGAGTGTCTATAACGAGAGGTGTGAGTGTGTGACAAAGTGGGAAAAATGGAGGGTAAATGTAGCATTGTCCGTATCATAAACATCGAGTTGGATTTCCACTTTTTCCCAAATATTTGGATGTAGGGTAGTAATTAGGATATGTTTGGTATAATGGTTAAAATTCAACGAATGGTGGGTAGTAGGTAACG